TTATTTTTATTTTTATTTTTAAATTTGATTTTATCTAAATTCAATTAATTAACATATAGTATATTATTAGTTTCTGAAGTAGAGTTCAGTGATTCATCAGTTGTATATAACACCCAGTGCTTATTACATCAAGAGCCCTGTGAGGTCATTTTAAACTCAACTCATTCAGGTAAACCAGGTAAACAGGGTTCCTGAAAGTCCCTGAGGATATCTCTAGAGTATGGAGAGTGAGGAGGGAAAAAGTAGGCAGAAAGAGACCGCTTCAGTGAAAGTCGCTCCAGGTTTATGTATGTTATGTGCCAAGGCTCTGTTTTAAGTTTTGATCGAATTATGTATTCCAAGAGTAAAGATAATAGCAATCATAATGACAAAAAATGGCAATATTATTATTATATTAGCCCTTCAAGAAGATACTTGCCAACCTTAAGATTGTATGCTTCTAGATGAGTTTTCTCAGGAAAATATATCTGGGTTTTTAATGTCTTCTCATGATTGAGGGAGTCTCCTTTGTCCTCTAAATAGGCAGGATGTTATTCAAATACTATTTTTTCCCTTTACTAAAGATACCTTCCCACCACTCTTTTTTCCCTTCCTGATTTTCGTTTCTTCCACCATTTTTTTCTTTCCTTCCTTTATGTTAATGGATAAATTGGTTAAAGTTTTAAAATATTGAAAAATAACTTTATAAAAGAATCAAATGCATCTATCTATGTATTTCTCTTCTATTAACATTCCATCACTTGAAAATGAATGAGTAATTAGTGTAACTGATGTGGACACTATATTGGACCCCTGAAACTCACTTGCAGGGTTTGTTCACGATTCAGAAAGCCAAGGCAAATGACCATTTCAAATTCTGTTTTGCTGCTGCTGCTAATTTATAAAGGACTTTTGAGAGCAAATGTCCAGATTTAGGAAATTAATCTATAGTCATGGTTAATAATATCAGTGGAGAAAAGGTGCCAAACAATAAATTATGATTAATTTATTATATACGTATATTTTAAAATTAAGTCTGGGTTTTGTTTTGTTCTGTTCTGCTACCCCAATGGCATTAGATTCTCATTCCGTAGCACGCCAGCCTCATTGGTTCATGTAAGTTTCCCTCATGTATGTATGTATGTGTGTGTGTGTGTGTGTGTATGAGTGTGTGGCTTTTGTGTTTTTTGTTTGTTCATTAATTTATTCATTTTCTTTTATCTCATTTTCTTTTCCCATTTCCTTCTTCTGTTCATGAACAACTATTATAATTTACAAAATTTCTGTTATTTTTCTTTAAATATATAATGTTACCTGGTATGAATAGCATTTTAATGTACATCAAATGACATTGTCCTATAGACAGATCCTGTCTCTCACTTGGTTTTACTTGGAAAGTAGTTTTAAGGTGGATCCACCTTTTGGTGTTAACGCCTGGTATGGTCTTTTTCCTGCACCCTCTGCCAGATGTTTTCATCTTGAGCACTTACTATACTCTCATTGTCCCATTTCTCCTGATACTGCCCCCTCCCACAAATAGACACTCAGCAAGATTTCTGAATCATAGAGTATACATGTGTTTAATTTCATGATGTTCTGCCTCATTGCCCTTCAGAGGGGTGTACTTATCTGCATTCCCATTAAAATAATTACATGTTTATAAATTGTAAACAAGCAGTTGTTGTATTTTCCTAACCCTTAGTCATAGCATTCTCACATCACAGAGTGGGGGTAAAGCTGAACAGCCATCCAGCAAGTATAATCTCCTTTGGAGTCCGGATCCCCTGATCCTCCATCCTGGTCAACACCTGGTATTTTCTGGCTTTTAAACTTTTTGCAAGATGATGAGAGCTCACTAGTATGTCATTATTGCTTTAATCTGTACTTTCTAATCACTAATGAGTCTGAGCCTTTTTATATATACCTATAACACTTTTAAAATTCTTCCTCTCTGAATCATCTTAATTTTACTAACTGCTAAGATGTTTCTGTTTTTTTCCAGTAGAGTATCATTTTTATTAATTTTTATGACAGCATACAATATTGGATGCAAGGTCGTGATCACCACGTAAGTGACTAATTAATTGTGTAGAGCCTGCCACTTACTAGGTGCTGAAAAAATAGTTGTGGAATAAAAAAAAAAACAGTCATGAGCATTTGTGTTATATACTTTTGGATATGCCTATAAGATTTCAACTGTTAACTCAAATGTAATCCATAAGATGTTTGTGATGTAATGGTAAATAATAAATATAGACAAAGAAATAACATACATGAAGTTGTGCATTATAAAGAATAGCATTTACTAGTTTTAGGAGATATAAGTTAAGTAATCCTAGAAGTTATAAAAGTTATTTTTTTATTCAAACATTACCTGATTATCTTTTTTGTTTTAAATAACATGTTAAAATATAAGATTCTGAGCAGCAAATCCTGTCATTGGTTGTTGCACATTCAAGAAAAATTCAGATGATCTTAGTTTTCCTATTAAAAGCTATTAGTGTAGGTACTTTCTAGGAATATAATTGAAACATCATCTGTCCACTCTCAAAGTTGAACAATTCATTAATATACATGTTGATATAATTTAAATATAAAGAAAATGTAAATGTTTGCTCATAATACTAAATAATTGATATAACCATTCATGTGTACGCTGCCTTCCAGGAATTATTTCTAAAACAAAGTGTACAGGGTTATCTTCGGATTGACTCTGCTTCCATTCAAGTCAATTAAATGATAAAATATTACTTTATTTTAGTGTACTTTATCACATTTATCATAGTGATCCTCAATGTAGCATGATCATGTTCAACAAATTTTTACTGCATTTTAAAATAGTTTAAAGGATTTTGAACTAACTTTTTTCAAGAATATTGTATTTGAAATCATATCATACTTAATTCTCACAATTATTAAAACCTTGTCATGAATTAGTAAGGAGTGATTGGTTATATTCACTTGGTTATTTTAGTATGGTTCTTGTAGGATTTGTAGGGATTTGAAGAGGTGACAGATAGGAAAGGTATTATTAAAGGATGATGTGCAAGTCATCACATTCCCTGTAGCATCTGATACTCACCACTGGAACCAAGTACTGGCAAAATCTTTTGAACCACAGTCCTGCACAAACTCTGGTGGAAAACTGAATGAAGAGAAAAGAAGTTCAGTCTGTGTATCATGGAACAGAACAGATTGTGTAGTTTATGACCTCAGGTTTATTTCTACGCAAGCTTCTAGTTATCTGTTGTTTTTTTCAGCAATTTTATTAACAATTCTAAATAGTTTTCCCTTTGTAATACTGGAAGCATTTTTTAATTTCATTGGTAATTATGTCTTGTAAATTTGCCCTTTTATTTTGAGAGGTGAAAAATAAACAAGTTAATCCAAGAGAAGCAGCATGAAGATTATGCAGCTATTTATTTTCATAAAATATGCTCTTGCTGAAAAGTGACAATGCAATTATAACACTATAATTTGTTTCAATTCAAAATCATCTTTACATAAATGTACTATTTATGCTGACTTTTTTTAAAAAGTATGTTTTTCAGTGTGCTTTTCCTTTTGTAGTGCTAAATTTTTCTTTAGTGGTATCATCATTGTCTCTTATGTAATTTTCTCATTTTGTACGTACAACAGCCTGGGATTGTTGAATTAAACTTAAGGCCCATCTGAAGATAAAGTTTTGTTGGAGTAAGTTCTAGAAAAGCCATTTTTGTTTGTGTTATTGTGGACATTTTTATGAACTTCTTTTGCCATTTCACTGTAGTAAAAAGAATTTCCCTTACTTGTTTGCAACTGGTAATATGCTTTCCAGTGTATATCAAAATCATTAAAACTTTTGAAGATTCAATTATGCCATGTTTAAAGTTTTCCACTGAAGCCAATGGTTTGCAATAGGGAATTTCACATAGGCATCTGTGAAGCTCGTTGAAAAGCTAATTGTTCAAGTATTTCTTTTTATTTCAATTATAGCCTAATTATGGCACACAGATTTTTATTAGGTAAAGCTGGTAGCTTTCACAAATATTTGGGCACTATAACTTGGATAGTTTCATCTAATTTCTATCCATTCACATAGTGGCATATTAGGACCATATGATTCATGCCAAATATGTACTCCTAAATTATTTTGACAGCTCATATAAAATGGACCAAAGAAACAAAATTTAAAATGTTGAAACACTGTTACTACATTTTTTTATTGAAAATTATCTTTCTAGACAGAGAGGAAACATGAAATGCCCTCTAATTAATCCAGGAACATAATTGACGCTATCCAACGCAAAAAGAAGATATAGAGTTCTTTGTTGAAACATTATTAAGAATTTCAAAATGGCGCCAGTGATGTGTTAAACCAAGCATGGGCCCTTCTAAGCCCAGGGCCTTGTCCTACCACATGGACCACCACACACACACACACACACACACACAGACACACCCCCATGAAACTGTCCTCTCTGTAACATGCCTGCTGATTCTACTCAGGGATGTCTTGCATGCAGTGAAGAAAAAGAAAAAAATACCACGTGGAAATCTGTCTTATCTGAGCAAAGTTGAAGCAATTAACAGCTTCTTAAGGGGAGCTTCACAACAAGCTACTAATGACTTTTTTTCACCTCTCCCATTCCATTATGGAATATGGAAGTTTATACTCTTCTAGATGCTTGTTCCCCATAGGAAAATTATATTGGTGCTTTTTTTTCCTACACAAAATTGGCCTAAGCAATATATGTTCAATAATGTTTTCTTTACTAAAGTAGTGTGAACAAAATGCATGTGTTTGGTAATATTTAATAAGTTTTCAAAAGCAACATTTTGCATGTTGTAGTAGACACATTTGATGTGTTCAGGTGAGTGATGAAATCAAACTACATGTGGCATTAATGTTCCAGAGAACGTTGAACTGATGCTCTCTGAATTGGTGTGCTGAGTTGGTTTTTAAATGTCTTCTATGCCTTATGGACCCCGACTAGAAATACAACACATTTTTAATTTTATACTTGAATTTGTCTCTTTAGGGATGCAAGTATTGGAATGGAATGGAATTCCTTTAACTTCTAAAACGTATGAAGAAGTGCAGAGTATCATTAGTCAGCAAAGTGGGGAAGCAGAAATATGTGTAAGACTGTGAGTTTTTCCCCATCTTTTTGTTTCCATTTTTTGGCTATTCATGACTCTTTTAATTTAAAATTGTTAAGGTGGAACCTTTGCCAGTCAGCAAGATTTTCAGTAATTAGAAAATAAAGTGAATACAAGTTTTACAGATTTCTTGTGCTCGGAATCAAAGTCGAAAGCATAGAAAGAATTCAGCTAATTTTGTGTCTGATTATGTCAGTAGTTCTCCCCTTTCATGCTTTTACTGAAACATGCTTCATTTAAATGAAAGCCTAAACCCATTTAGATTTCATGTCTGTGTATAGTATTTCAAAATGAACTTACATTTAATCCATAAAGATTTCACCTTAAATAATCATTTTTATCAGCTGACTTTTAACAGCATTGCAAATATATATTTGGTTAGAAGGATGAGCATGCTTGGAAATTGCTTTATATCATTAACCACTTCTCATTTACCTACTGAAAAAAAAAATCAAGGTAGTTGAAAAAAAGGGCCTTTTGTCTCTGGTTTCCTCAATTTCTTTCTTAATTTCTTTGTTTTAATTTTTAGGGACCTCAATATGCTCTCAGACTCTGAAAATCCCCAGCACCTGGAACTTCACGAGCCACCAAAAGCCGGTAGGTGAAAGTCATCTGTTTTCCACTGTGGGTTAAGGTGAAGACGTAACTGAAAGGTAGTTATAGGGGCACATGAAGCTGTAGGTGAAGATATATAGACAATCATTGATACTGTATGGGCAAGATGCAGTTATAGACTAATAGATGTTATTTATTTATTTATGTAATCATAAACAAAATCAAAAGCAATACAGATACATTTTAGCATTCTAGGGAAACACATACTTGCATGTTAGACCCGTGAAAGAAATTCATACAGAATTCTTGCTGTGTGAGTTTACATTTTTAATTCTTTAAAAATAAATTCATCCCACCAGAGTAATCCATGGAGCCATTTACTTGGGGTTTTATGGAATTTTTAGATAATACTTGATTCTCTTTAGCATAACCAGACTATAGAACACTCATTCTTGAATCTTTTGATTGCCTTTTTCTTATGAAGAAAAAAATCAACATGTAATTTCATAAGGACGTGATGAAACAGACTTAACTCTTTCTGAGCTAACAACCAGAGTCTTATAAATATAGATCGATTATTACATGAGAAACATCACTTATTTGTTTAACAAATATTTACTGAACATTTTCTCTGCTGCAGCCAGCATTCTAAGAGTCTGGGTTACTGCACTATAGAACAGACCCAGGCCTGCAGAACTTTTCATACAGCTGTGCATGTAAAATTACCTTGTCATCTAGAACTCGCATAAGCTCCATGGTATTAAGTACCTATGAAACTGAGAAATACATAGTCACTTCATTTTGTTGTAGTGGATAAAGCGAAATCCCCAGGGGTTGACCCTAAGCAGTTGGCAGCAGAGCTCCAGAAGGTTTCGTTGCAACAGTCTCCACTGATTGTGTCGTCCGTTGTGGAGAAAGGATCTCACGTTCATTCAGGTCCTACATCAGCGGGATCCAGTTCCGTTCCCAGCCCGGGGCAACCAGGGTCCCCCTCCGTGAGCAAAAAGAAACACAGCAGCAGCAAGGTGAGAAGTGACCTCTGAGTTACTTATTTTCTCCTGCTCCTTATTCAGACAAGGACAAAGGAAATCCAGTATCATTTTCTAAGGTGTTTTTCTTGTGATTTCTCATTTTATTGAAACAAAAAAAAATTCCATTTCTTAACATATAACTAATCAAGATGTTATAAAGATGATATATTTCTACATTTCTTAAAATATTTTAGCAAATTATTATTATGAGACACTTGAACAATGTGTCTAATGCTTTGTAATTCCTGATTCTTTTTCTCTGTAGTTGTTGCATAAATCTGAGCCTCTTTATGTATGGAACATTAGCTTTGCATCTTTTTGGAAATGCAAGATATACATTACATTGGATTTGATCATTTAAATAAAAGGTATAAAGGATGCAGAGATAAAGAGGATTTAGGACAATGAGGAAAACCTGTAATATAGAATTGCTACTTTGAATTTTATCCCTAATTCCATACTAATTGGGGTGCCTGGGTGGCTCAGTCATTTAAGTGTCCAGCTCTTGATTTTAGCTCAGGTTATGAACTCTGGGTCATGAGATGGAGCCCCGCATTGGGCTCTGTACTCCACGGGAGTCTGCCTGAGATTCTGTCTCTGCCCCCCCCCCCCATGATCTCTCTCTCTCAAATAAATAGATAAGCCTTTTTAAAAAAAGAAAAAAAAAAAGAAAGAAGGAAAACCGGTAATATAAAATTGCCATTTTGAATTTTATCCCTAATTCTATGCTAATAAATGTTCCCTTGTTGGAAGTCTTCATTTGAAATAAATGTTTCTAACACTATTATTTCCAAGCTACTGGGCTATTAAAAGAAAACATAGAATTAGTTTTTTAACCTTATAAAAGCAGATGAAATGTAGACATTTTGCAGCTTTTTCTTCATAGATTTGATTCTTAATAAAGAAATTCTCATTATAGTCAGTAAATATATTGGAAAAAGTATTCTTTTGTTTAAACAAGAATAAAGATTTCTCTTTACATAGTAAGATATATGGGAGGGACAGGCCATGCTTGGGTAAACTGACTGGACTTCAGAAAACAAAGTTTTTTTTACGAAGTATAAAAACAGCAGGTATCTCCAGGTGTCCCCCAAATCCCTTTTATTCAGAAACAAACAACAAAGGTAAGATGATCTTAATCATTGTATCTTTTGATGACTTGTCCCAAATTAAATATAGCAGGGCTTCTCAAAGAATAATTTCAAGAATAGTTAGATTCAATTTCAAAACAAATTTTAACACAACTATAATTTCCCATATTTACCACAAGCAATTGTGTGTTAGTTTTCAAGAATTACCTCATGGAGGCTCTCTGTCTCCTGAGACTGATATTTCTCATTCCTTTCTTAATGTTTCCAGGTAGAAGGCCTCAAGACATAACAAACTCTGCTAGCAAAGTTTCCAAACCAAGCACATTATAATAAGTTTCTCATCCTAATATATTTTTTATTTCAACAACTGACATCACCATCCTTCCAGAAAATTAAGTACAAATTTAAGACCACCATTGCTTCTCTTTTTTCTCCATTCACAGTGTCTGATCAGTCACTGAATCTTGATCCTGAGAATTCTAATTTTCTAATAAGGCTGTAGTGATTTTCTGTCTTCTCTGAACTCACCAATTTTCTTTAGCAAAGCATTATTTTTTTCCCCAACATTATTATACTCACTACTGCTAACTCCATTCACCATTCTCTCTTCCTTCCTCTTAAACTACCTTCCAACTGTCTGATCTGTAACAGTGATCTGATTGGGTCACTACCCTGTTTAAAAAGTATCCCTGCTCCCTAGAAAGTTGACTGCCTCACCTCTGCCTATGACCCTATCCTGCTCAGTCTAAAAGGGCTTGGTCAGTGGTTTTCCTTGGGAAATTATTACAGTAAGTATAACGTTCAATCTTTACAATAGCCTTGCTAATAAGTACTCTATATATTAGGGTTTCCAACTCATTCCTACTTTCCACAGACATTTTTGAATGGCACCTCAGTGTCAGGGGTCACACTTTGTACAAGATACAAAGATGGATAAAATCCCTTCCCTGCAGACTAGGTAGACCAGTAGTTCCTAAAGTGTGATTCCCAGTAACAGCATCAGTATTATCTAGAAACATGCTAAAAATGCAAATTCCTGATCCCACTTTATACCTTCTGAATTAGAAACTATGGGGATAAGACCAAGCAACCAGGGTTTTAAAAAGTTCTCCAAGTGTGTGTGCTGCCCCTTGAAGTTTAAAAGGTACTGATCTAAAATACAATGATATGTAAACAAATTCATTGAAGGTATATAATGTTGGATGTCATTAAGAACTACAGTGAGGGCATGAAGAGTGAGGTTAAGAAAGCTGGTGTTAGCTAATGAACTGATTTGGTAAAGGGGATAAAGGGACCAACATTCCAAGCAGAGAGTGCAACATGAAAAAAAATCTCAGAAACAGAAATTGCCTGCCTAGAATGTAAGTGTACAAAAAAATACAGGGATAAGAAATAAAGGAAAAGCCTAGACGGTTGTAAATTGGAGAATATTATGTGCCATGCCTGGCTTTTACACTGCAGTCTGCAGGAAATGAAGAGCCAGTGATAAGCTGTAAGCAAAAATGAAGTAAGAATAATAGGAAGGCTTTGTCCATGAAATCTTTCCATAGCCCATTCCTGCCTTAAAATCAGAAGGTATCCTTTTTCCTTTTCTCCTCCCTCTGAAGTGCCCCATGCTTTATGTATCTCTTAAGACAGTCTGTATCTTTTTTTTTTTTAAAGATTTTTATTTATTTATTTGACACAGAGAGAGACACAGTGAGAGAGGGAACACAAGCAGGGGGAGCGGGACAGGGAGAAGCAGGCTTCCTGCTGAGCAGGGAGCCCAATGCTGGGCTCGATCCTAGGGCCCCAGGATCATGACCTGAGCCAAAGGCAGATGCTTAACCACCCAGGTGCCCCAACAATTTGTACCTTGATTGTAGCTACTAGTTTCCTTATTTTATCCTCCCAGTTAGGCTGCAATCTCCTTAAGAACCAAAACCCCTTTCTTACTTTCTCTGTGCTTCTTAAGCACATAGTAGAGGGGCTTACACAGCATAGTAACAAATAAATAAATATTGTGAATTAAAACATCATTGGCACTTGTGAGTCTCTATAATATTACAGAGGTGCCAAATTTGTTTTTTGTTGTGGCAAAGTTTTGGCAATGATTAGAAGATGAAAATAAGTATAGTAGGACAAACATCAAGGAAATTATATTGACATGTTTTATGATATGCAGTAATTTTTTTCCATGCCAAGAATGTGGCCTATGTGGTTTTACTATATTTTTGCTGGAAAAAAAATTTATAGAACTGTATTGTCCATAATGATAGCCACATGTGACAATTGAGCCCTTGAAGTGTGGCTAGTCTGAATTGAGATATACTGTAAATGTGAATTAATGCAAAGTTATCAAGACTTAATATGAAAAAATATAAATTATCTGGTTACAATTTTGATATTGATTTCATGGTATAATTATAATAGTTTGAGTAAATTGTGTTATATAAAACATTATTAAAAATTAATTTCACTGGCTGATTCTTATATTTTTAATGTAACTACTAGAATATTTAAAATTACCTATGGTCTCATATTCTACTCTTCAGTGATGATATAGAGATTACTTAACTCTTACTAGTAATAACAATAATCAAATCTAATCACTTTTGGGATGTATATGTATATAATGTTACACGTACATTTTTAATTAAAACATATAGTCACTAGATGCTAACACTCTTGAAGGAAGAGACTGTTACCTGTTCATCTTTTGGGGCATTTATCTCTAACATTTAGCTGGTATAGTTTCTTAAAACATTTTTTTCTGAATGAATGAATGAATGAATGAGTGAATAGATAAATAAGTTTAATGATATTTCCTGACCCATCAACGTGTAGTATTCATAAAACACAATACATTGTTTTCATTTATTCTCCAAATCCTACAATGTTAAAGAATTTATATTGAGAAATTACGGAAATATTGAGTGATGGTCTGAAACTTACATATCCCTGAGTCAGGTACTATGTCCACAAATGTCATATGTTCTTTAGATAATTTATAGAATTATGGTTTTAACTTCATTGTGTTTTCATTAGGTGTGAGACTCGGTATGAAGTTATAAAACATTAAGGTAACGGAATGTATTAAAACTAAAATATTTAAATACAGTTAGCATAATTATACATTTGGATACTTAGAACACCATCTAGTAAACATTCTAAATGATTATTCATAAGTAATTATTAATCTGTTAATACTCAAAATGGTTTCTTCTGAGTAGACAAAGGTAAAATATGAATCAGAATTATTTAAATACATGTTTATATAAGCTATGTATATGACTATTTTAAATTATTTTGTTTAAAACTAATTCAATACGAATTTTTATCTTCAAAATTTTTATTTTACCACCTCAAGCTGTTTGCCTCTGAAATTCAAAACAAACCTTCTTCATTTTATCTTTAAAGTTTGAATGATTTCTTTCAAGTCATGGTATGAATAAATGATTCAATTAAAGTACTTTAATCATGTCTTATGAAATAGGTCATTGGTTTCCCAAACTTTGCTTGTCATAGCACCCTGAATGTCTGAGTAATTTTTTTCCATGGCTCTCTTATGCCCAAACATATACCTAGAACAGTTTTATTTATTAAATAATTAATTAGTATTTAAATCCTAACATCTGGGTAGCCATTGAAAAAACAATACATATAAAATGAACTGTAAGTCGGCTAATTGAATTTAAATTTAAAAAGTAATGTATTTGTTTCATTGTTAATAACTAGATTACATTTCATTGTGATATGTGCAGCTGATGGACATTGCACAGCTACTCAGACCATGAAATCAGACTGCACACTAAGTGATTTCCTGTTTTTTACTCAGCTCACTGAGTTTCTTGAAGTATATTTTGTATCACCGCAATCATTAAAAAACACCTCACAAAGGTAGGACATCATTGAAAGGAAAGTAGTTGGCTCTAATCTTGAAAGGGAACTCCCCGGAGCTCATGGTTTGCTCGGTGTCCAACAGATATTGATCTTTTTCAGACAATCACTTCTTAATATTTCACATTCCTTAATTAAAGTTCTATCCTATTCTATGTAAGTTCTCACTTCCTTAATAAGTTGCTTATGTCGGTAAAGCCTTAAGAATATTCAGGAATGTGATCTGGTAAACTGGCTCCTAATGCTGAAAAAAATGACTGATTGCTGACTTGTTACATTTCAATGCCGTATTTGTACAAATGGAGAGATGATATCCCTGACTCCAGATCTGTAATAGTGTTTCAGGTAATGGGGCACCCACACTGGGAGATATTTACGAAAATGGAGGCCAGCCTGCCACCCCCAAAATAAGGCCCTGTCTGTCCACATGTGCATAATATTGGCCTTGCCTCCCTAGAGGGAGCAGGGAGGGGTTGAGCACCCATCGAAGGAGAACAAGGATGGACTTCTCTAACCTTTGTGCTCCTAGGCAGTCATCATCTAAAAACAATGTCTTTTTCATTTCTGTATAGATCTTTGAAACCTGTAAATACTTAAATTGAGTACTTTAAACCAAAATGCTCATTTCATTAAGTAATTGAAAATGCATTCCTACAGGTATAAAATTGTAGCTTCAAAACAGGCTGAGCAAAATGAAAAAAAGATTTATGTATCTATAAAATTAAATCACATATTGAGAAGGAAGTGCATTTTCCAGGCAGTATGCTCTGACCAAATAAAAATTCCAGAAGGAAGTTGACATGGTAAATTTTATGAAGGGCTTATCCATTAATACAATATATGTTTTTAATATTGCAGCCTACTGATGCAACAAAGGTTGTCTCTCATCCGATTACGGGGGAAATTCAGGTATGGAAGTTTTGGAAAAATCAGCATTGTACCATCTTCGTTGGCTGTTTTGTTCCCCCAACCCTGGTCTGTTGAAATTGTAAACACTGTTAGGACCTTTCCTGTTTTATATATGTTGTATATTACACATACAGACCTGTGAAGGAAAAAATACAATTTTATAGAATAGCATTTTAGTACATAGTTCATAAAACCTGATTATATGTATGCAGTTCTATAATTTGATATGTGTCTGATGCCGTAGCAATATCAGTACGTTTTACGTCTCAGTTTATACTTGTTGAATGTGTTTCAAACATGACAGATTCTTCTGGAAATGTGAAGTTTCCCCTTGAAGAGTTTCATGAGTCCGGTGCTATCCTCTTTTCTTCCTCCTACCAACAACTGTTGTATAATCGCTGAACATTTCTTCTAGAGTAGTGCTTTTCATCCCAGCGGTCATAACCAGTTTGTAATTCATAAAATCAACTTAGGGGATTTTGATCAGGAAAATAGAAGAAAAGTAGTACAAATCACTCTCTTTTTTACTTCTATAAACGTGTGTTTCTGTGTGTGTCTTGTATCATAACTATTTCTTACTGTGGGTTGTATTCAGAAGTGTTGTAAAAACTGTGCTTTAGGTGATACCAAAAAGTAATTCAGGATAGATTTTAAAAATCACATAAAAATAAGTAACACAATGTAAAATGATAACTACTGGGAGATAGCCACGTTCAGATAAGGGGAAGAGGACAGTAAGTCTTAGAGCTGTGTCTCCAACATAGTCTAGAGAAGTTTTCATGAATGGTTTCACAAAGGACAACAGACTTGAACCAGTTTGAGGATAAGCCCTGAGAAAGGGGGACTGTGTTCCTGGCAGAAGAAATGCTTCACAGGAAGTTTCCGCTGCCAGAGAGTAAGTAACAAAAGGCAGGGATCAGCTCTGCGGCTGTGAAATGTTCCTGTACGGATAGGTTGAAACTGAATAAAACCTTGGACACAAGCTGAGGGGTGTTAACCACCACACTAGGGTGATCAGTAAGTATTTTGGGATAAGGGAGAGACTAACTGAAGGGAATATATAATAAGATTTCACACAGCAATGGATCCAGGAAGTATTATAAAGGAGAGGACACAAACGCAAAGGAAGCAATGAAGTGATGATCTAGGCTCATGCTGGTTAAAGCAGAAGCGGTGTGTGAGTGTGAAATGGGAAGAAGTGCAGAATGCGGGCACCTCACTGAGGAGGATCCAGCAGCCCAGAGCCTGGAACCTTCCGTGCTGCACACCTTGCAGCCTCACTGCTCCTTCCCCCTTCCAAGAAAGCCAGACCTGATCTTTCTTGATTTCACCGGCAGCCAAGAAAATGCTAAATTTGCTGATTTGCTGATTCCTAATTCCACCCCCCCTTTTTTTTTAAGCTTCTTGCCCCCGGACCAGTGTTGGCTTTGTTTCTTTTTGCTTGGGGTTGTTTTTTTTCCTTCTTTCATTTTCCTTTCCCTTGAGCAGTAATATTTAATTCTATAGCAGAAATTTACTCTGATAATATCCTTTCTTAACTCTTAGGCTGTTTTCTTTTCTCTTTTAATATTTTCTCATGACAGTGATTTCTAGCTTATTTCTTTATTTTCTTGTAGCAAAACCTTTTTGCAAATGCAGCTTTATGTGGACAACCAAATAAATGAATCCACCAGCCCTGGGGTAGCTCAGGGTGGAAGGTGACCGGGGACGTTTCATTCTGTCTCAGAAGTAACATCTGAGCAACCCTAAGCGTTTTCTAAAGCACTGCAGGATCAATGGTGAGAAGCACTTTCTTAGGGTTAGCCTGCAAGTTTTCATTTAAATAAGAAATGGTTTTGGTGCCTCACCAGATAAAAGTGGACATAAAGGCTGGCAAAGAAAAGACTACATGGGGAAGCATTTCTCCTTAACAGTTCGGAAGCTGTTCTAAATCTCAGTGAAATTAATTGCAGAATAATTCCATTTTTCGATACCCCGTTAGAGTACACAGTTACTGTAGTTTGCAACTTCCCATTTTTTTCTCTTCCTTCATGGCACTTTGTTTTATATGTCACGTTGCTTTCATGATGGTCAGACTGAGCTTTTCTGTGTTGAAAAAAGGAATGGAAGATTCCTTTTCTGCCAGAAAAATATAACCAGATGAAAATTGTGCTAAAATTAGGAATTATTTTAATTATCAGATTTTAAATAAAGCTTGGCTTCCCTACATTATCCCGTTCTCAACATGAGCACAACATACCTGTTTCATGTTATAAAAAATAGGTTAGTGTTTTTATTTATGGATTTTTTTTCTTCTGAAATATAGATCCCTTCCTTTCTGCTATTTGATAAACAAAAGCAGCATCAGGCAAAATTAAGGCTTATTCAAAATGGTGCCATAAGAATATTTAAATTTTGAAGGAGAAAAATTAGTTAGCTCCATTATCTTGAATTATGCAGGCTTCGCAAATATTTATTTGAATTGTTAATCTTTTCCTATTCAGTGACAATTGTGCAACAGCCATTAAACATCTAGGAGGCAAGGCCTCTTCTTCCCTCTTCAGAATCTAAAATTAAAGAACAAGATCTTATTGTCGTAAACTCTGACTCTATTAGAAAAGCAGACACAGAAAAAAATTATGGGTAATATAATGTAATATGGAAAGAGATAAAATCCACATGTTCTTAAATATTCTTACATTTCAGACTAACAGCTCCATCTTTAAATAATGATTCCACCTACTGCAATTATTTGGTAAAATGCAAGACATTTTCTAATAAATTCATCAACTGATTTATTTTCGAAATCCTGGTAATTGTATTCATGAACGCTAATAACATTACTATTTTTCTAAGAGTATAAATTTAGTTTAAAAATGTAACTAGCAATTCACTGCATGATTTTTCTTCTAAATGAATTTTAGACAGGCCAGAACTTTAACCATGGAAAGAATGAACAGCACATTTACTAGTAATTAGCATGTGCCTGGGACCTCTCAATTAAATTAGACATACACTAGTCTGTTCAGTTTCAAGTAAAAGGGAAGTGAAGGTTGATGCTCCTTATGAGACTAAAAAAATGTACTGGTGCGTTATTGAATAATAATGTATTATAGATTTCTTAAAACAACAACAAAAAATATTCATGGAATATTTTGATGTCCCTTTAAGCTTCAAATCAACTATGATCTTGGAAATCTCATAATCCATATTCTCCAAGCAAGAAACCTTGTCCCTCGAGACAACAATGGTTACTCAGACCCCTTTGTGAAAGTGTACCTTCTTCCTGGGAGAGGGTGAGTAAAGAAGCAGTGTCTTCTAAGTATCGCATCTCATGGATTAAAAAAAAAAATAGTGTTAGTGTTTCTAGTTTCCACTTTTAAAGAGTTTAATATCTATTCCTCAGTTTTATTTACATGTCATATTTATTTATTTCCAACTATTAGAGAAGGTAGAAATAAAAATTTGCAGTGAAGCATTCCTGGGGAGCCTTGATCATACTAAATCCTGTCTTGACGATACATGTCAGTCTTTTGAATCTAGAAACCACTATAACCAATCAGATGGACTGTGAAATCATTTAAGGAATTATTTGTGGCAGATTTAGAGCATTAGCTTTACCTTCCCAAATTCATTTGCAAAAACAGTGTTCAAGGACTCGTAAATTACTGTTTTATCTTGTAGGACATCTTTATCTAGCCCGTTACACGTTCATTAAGTGACTTATTGATGTCTCCTTATTTATATGTGTATTTTCAAATCACTGTTTTAAAAATTATAAAATAAGAGTAATATTTGAAGTGTTTGTTGAATATTAAAAAAAATATTTAATAAGTATGGTAAATATTTGGTAAATAAACAAAAAATATCTCTGAATCTCACGTGATATACAAACTTCATATAAAGCAAGTGCTCTTTGGAGATGTTTAATTTTCATATGATAAGTGCAAATTGCTATGTTCTGGTATATAAATCAGTACTCAAGGATGGTTTCAGAACAGTGATTTGGACCCAACGGATCATTATACCTTATCTAAATAACTTACAGTAGCCAAATTAGCATGATGGAACCAAAAGTAATCACAACTGGAGGTATAATAAAAAGAATTTGGGGCTGGTAATTTGAAGGCTCTGGTTTTATTTTTATTCATTTTTCATTTAACTTGAGGAGTGACATTTGAATATTACTTTTTCCTTGGAAATTTTGAATTGTTGCACATGAGTAGAAAGAATAATGTAATGACCCACCACATACTCGTTACTCGGCTTCAACAATTATTTCCTAGCCAATCATGTCTCATTTTTACCCTCATATACTCCCTCTATACAGATTATTTTAAAATAGATCAAAAACTAATAATGTACTATATGTTGGCTAATTGAATTTAAATAAAATAATAGATCTCAACTCAATATCTTTTTTCTGCAAATATTTTACTATATATTTCTAAAAGTTAACTCATTTAAAACAATCGTAATACCACATATAACCACTGTAATTTTAAAATGTTTAAATCATTCCTTAATTTCCCCAAATGCCTCATAATAATTTCCTATTTGGTTTGAAGACCTAATTGATATTTATAGAACATTCTTCCCATCAATAGCAGAATGCGTATTCTTTTCAAGTGCGCCCAAAACATTTGCCAAGATAAACTATATCATGGGCCATAAAACAAACCACAAAAAATTTAAAAGCGCTGAAATCATACAAAGCATATTCCGTGACTATAGTTGGTTTGTTTGAACAGGATCCAAATTAGAGTTATATGTTACCTTTGAGTCTGCTGCTTGTTGACTAATTACGTCACCACCAGCAGATCACCATTTCTTTTGAGATTAATTTTTCTTGTCAATATTGACAGAGCCAAGGGAACAGAGCCAATAGTTTTATCTGTCAAGAAATCAAATAATACTCAGAAAATAGTCTGCAAATTTCCAGGTGTTATATCAAATTAAGTATACAGCCTTTAATTTTATCCTAATAATTTTACTTAGAAATTTAGAATTGCTGGTTTTGTGATTCTAGTTTTAATTTGTTGAATTTAATTTATAGGGGTCACCAGTAGAGCACAGGAAAGGGGAGTTTTCATTTTATGTTCATTTAAATCTTTAGTAGTTACAACTGCAATTTGGCTACCTTTTTTAAATAGGAGTATAACTACAACAAACTGATAACTTCATTCTGCCTTTGATTGGGTCATTAGACCTTCCGTGTTAATATTATGGGACAAGAGGTAATCACTGCCAAGGGTATATCCCAAATTAGCATTTGCTAATGAATGAATGAAAATAAAGCAGTGTCTTTTACTTTCTCTCTTCTCTAATAATATCCTGGAGAATATCACCTTTTGTACTATATGAGAGTGCCTATCTTTTATTTATTACAGGATATGTTTCATTAGACTATTACATACTTGAATAACCCGAAAGGGCAGGCAGATAACATGAATATGTCAGTCATTCTGGGGTGAGTAACAGTGAAGGAGGGAACTATAGTGAAATAAAGAGTGGGTTTCCCACCTGAAGCCATCTCTACATATTTTGTCCGACAAAACATGCCTGCTGGGTGGGATTTGCCCCAGAGGGAGCTAATCAACTACCCCTATTCAATTCGTAAACCTTTCCTTAAATTATTCCTACGGTTTACAGTGGCCAAGGCGTTTGGCTGTTATATGGCTTAGAGCTGTTATTTTCACTGTAGCTCTAAGTCTCTTTTCTGCCTCATGTTATTTATATGTCACGGTGTACCTCCTCCCGTTATTATTCTCGTATTTCCTTCCTTATTTCTGTTCCTAACTTTTTTCTTCCTGTCTTTCCGACTTGCCTGTTGTATCCTTCACTCTCGCTCTCGGAATCAATGCAGTCAAGTCATGGTTGTCCAGAATGCAAGGTAGAGTTGGTTCTCTTTCAGTGTCAAGCTATGCTGTAATGTCTAGAGTTTTATTTTTTGCCTATTTGTGTACATTCACCTGCAGTTTGACTTGACAAAGATGTAATCTGCTTCTTTTTACATGTTGGTATCTATTGAATTAGGCTACCAGCAAATTGTTCTGATTACATTACCAAACAGGTTTGGCATATGTGTGCCATAGAACGTTGAAAAGTAGAAAATATTAAAAACAGAAAAATATGAATAAGGAAACACCACCCTGAAAATAGATGTAACTGGTTTTCATATGTAATTTGTCCACTAAAATTCATTTAGCTTCTCATGTGATAACCATGGCTTAAGTTCTCCTGGGTCTTCTATTACAAATAAAAATAAAATCTAGAGTCATTTTTCACAAAAATTAACTGACCTTCCAGATTCACTGGGCATGAATCTCATCCTAAACACCGTAGCTCTCGAGTCTTTTTCCCTTAGTTAGACCTGATATTGAAACATTTCCATGCCTTTATACCTTCTGCACCACAAAGGCATTGCCATGCAATAGGATGCCGTAGTCGGCCTTCTCTGGCACACTGGCAACAACATAAGAGCATCCTCCTTTCTGTGCCATTAGTAGGAAACTGTTTTCTAATAGAGCTCATAACGTGGTACATCATCCCATGGTCATCTAAGGGTATCTTTTAGATACATAACTAAGAGCATTCTTTTGCACATCTCATTACATTATATATTAAATGCGTTGTTTGGTTGGGGAGGTGAATCTTGCACCATCTGTAGCAATGGATGATGGGAATTTTAATGCCACCCAGAATATTAATGGTACAGGATTTGTTTTTGTCTGCAACATTAAAATTTGACATCTTTAGTAATCCTGACAAGCTGATACCCAAAAGAGGTTGTTTCTGCTTTGAAAGGCATAGATATTTAAATATTGTAAGGACTAGGATTAGTCACCACACCCTTTCTAGTGGCCAGAAAGGTTGTGTTTCCTTGCACACATAACCATGGTAAATTTGATACTGTGACAGTTTGCTTGATATGACATCCTTCTCAGGACAGCATCCAGATCTCTCATCCAGATTGGTCTCAGACCGAAATGCAAAATTATTCAGTTGAAAGAGACAGTGTCATTTTAAAGCTTTTTTTTTTTTAAGATTTTATTTATTTATTTGACAGAGAGAGAGATCACAAGTAGGCAGACAGGCAGGCAGAGGGAGAGGGAGAAGCAGGCTCCCTGCTGAGCAGGGAGCCCGATGCGGGGCTCGATCCCAGGACCCTGGGATCATGACCTGAGCCGAAGGCAGACGCCTAACCATCTGAGCCACCCAAGCGCCCCGAGATAGTGTCATTTTAGAACAGACATTATCAGTCACTTTATTCAGAACCTTCCTATCCTTTATCTAGAGAAACTGAGGGGAAATTGTCAGAATGACAATAATTGTCAGTATTTAATTTAGAAGAGAGCATGTTTTGTAAACATAAATAATGCTTGAAACAGTCTGGGGTGTGCTGGTTACAATTTCAAAGATCTAGAAGTCACTTTCTCATCCTATGTTTCATCTAGAGGTCACTTCCATCATCTTTTTGAGAACTGTCAATGCAAGAAGGAACAATAATGACAAGGTACTGACATTTTAATTTTGGCTGAGGAGGCCAGTGAATAAAGTCCTAAAGAGCTTGGGTTTGGATTTCAGCCCTGCCTCTTAGAAGTTGTGAGGTTTCTCTGAAACGACTTCCTCTTCTGCTAAATAAGAATAATAATACCTCCCCTCCCAGGTTTTTTGTAAAACACAGAGTAATACACCAAAAGTGATAAGCGTAATGTCTGACACATAATAGGCTCTCAATAAATGGTGCTTGGTATTATCGTCAGTATTACGTACAATTACACTCTCTTAGGGCATACCACTTAGAATTTCCCAAAGCAACTATAAAATTGGCCTAAAATTGTTGTGATATGTGTATATATACAAATATATATAATTTATATACAGGAAATATATATATATACATTTAAATTGAGGTGAAGAACTTTAGATTGCAGGGTAGAGTATAGGGAAGACAACCTAGACACTTCAGCTTATGAAGCCTGCAATTAAGAAAGTTGATGGATTATTCTTATTTTATGATTGGCTATATCAGGTCGCCAGTGGTCAGTTATTCCTACAAAAAAGTGATGTGGAATGCTTGGGCTACAGAATTATACAAAAGCATTTAACGGTATATAGGAAACCAAACAACTTTGTTTTCTTCAATCATAAAATGTACCACATTTGTCATCCTTAAAATTAAAAAAGAAAGAAAGAAAGAAAGTCCTGTTCACTGATAAGAATTTCACTGGTCCAATTTTCTCATCTCTCATTTCCTCTTCCCACCCTCGGATCAATATACTCAGAAGCTCTGAAAGCCCAACTGTCAGCCCTGAGATGAAAGGAAACAGGAAAGAGCCTATAAAGAGTGCATGAACTCAATACTTGTCCCTGGCTAACTAAGAAATGGAAATGAGCATATCTGAAGGATCTCATTCTGGTTTTCTCTCATTACACTGTTTGACAAAGTGCAGGCTTTTTGCCACGAATGAGATTTTGCTCTGACTGAAGCTGATTTTCACTATCATGATACCTGGAAGTTCAGTTCCAGCATGGACTTTCTCTAAACCGCCTTGTTAGCATATCAGACTATTCCCTCCAGGACCTCTATAAAGCAGGTACAGGTGTTGCATGCATTGACAATTCAAAGGCCAGAGCTTGTTTCATTTCAATAGATTTTAAGGGGAAAAAAATAGAAGTATATTTTAAGGACCCATGCAATAAACATCTCTTTAGCACAAACTGTTCCAAACACTGTGTGAGCTGCTGAGGGTAGAACTGACAAATGGCCACATAGGCTCTGACTTCAGGGAGCACAGACAATCAAGTGATGTGCCAAAAACACATTACTGCACAGAAGAATAGGGCTTATAAAACGGGATATTATCTGAGCTGCTTTCTAAATTAAAGAAAAATCCTTAGAAGAGTAATTAAAAATAAATTGTGCGTGCGTGTGTGTGTGTGTGTGTAATTTCCAATAAAGGAAAACCAAATAAAACAAGAGAAGTGAAAACCTTCAATATTTTAGATAATTCTATGAAAGCAAAATACAAAGACGTCATCATATTCCATTCATTCATCTTTCTTATTTTTTTTGAAATTAAAAAGAGAAACTCAGAAAACTCTTTTTCTGCTAATATAGGGGAGAATAATTGAATTTCAAGTATCTTTTTCTGTCTGTCTTAAAAGTATTATCTACTTATGAGAAAGTAACTGGTCAATAATTTAAAAAATGAAAGAGAAAAGAAGTTAGTCAAAACTTCAAGGAAATGAGGGTTAATTTTTTTATTAGCACCGTGCCCCATCTTGATTAATTGACTATTTATTTTCCCTTCTTAAAAAACTTCTCTGATTATTAGATACGGCCTAATTGTCCTACTATAATATCATTATTGCAATTTTCCCGTGAGGGAATATAGTGTGTTTTCCAGACAAAAAAGGGAAAGGAAAATGAACTCTACTTTTTTCTCAACCTAATTTATGCTCACATTTAAGAATCCCACTGCTAACCTGCTCATCTTCAACTTGTCAGTCCAGATTTTGATGTGGTTGTGAGAAGTGCTGAGTTTTCAATTTTGTAAAGTGGCAGCACAGCCCATTGGGATCATGCTCAAGATGGTCAGTTCGTGGTAGTTATAAAGCAAGTGTTATTGAAGGAATGGCTTTGTGCGATCATCTCTGCATAACATTCAAGTCCAAAAAAAAAAAAACAAAAAAACTGCACAGGATTGCATTATCATTTACACAGTTCCACCAGAAATAGTGGAGGCAAGTTGTGAATTCCTACATTAATCCAGACCTTGAGTCTGGAGAGAATTGAAGAATCAAACTCACTAATAACCTAAAATTCCCCCCAACTGTGGTTATTTCTGAGCGGATCTGGGCAAGAATAAATATTTGTAGTAATTATCCTTCATTCCACAACACTCTTTTAGGATATACTAGTCAGAATTTCCCTGAACAACTCTAACGCTGGCCTAATTTTTTATGATATGTGTATATATACACACATATTGTATGCAATTTCTATTACACATATAGGAGAGCAACCAGTTTCCCTATGTTTGAATCATGGTCCTACCAGTTAATAACTATGCAGCCTTTCCAACATACCTTAATTCTACTGAGCTTCATTTTTTTCCATCCAGTCTCATAGAATTGCCATGAGGATTAAATGAGTTAACACATAAGAAGCTTTTAGAACTCTGCTTGGGAAAAACTAAGCTTTTAATGAATGTTAGCTGTTTTTATTTTAATGTGCTTACTTTATAAATTGCTTTTTCATACATGAATTAAGAACTTTTGCTAAATGTAAAAGTGAAAAAATGACAAAATATGCAGGTGAAAAATTATAGTAAATTACTCATAGATTCAGAAAAGATGATGAATAATGAATTATTTGGAAGACATTTAAATATTACAGACTATTTTCATATATATTGACATATCTAGGATTTTAGTGAAGTACTTGAGTTTGCATTTGACATTAATTACCATCTTTTTAAAAAGTTATGCATTTAATTTTTCAGCATTGGAAAAAAATAATTTACTACTCTTCCAATGTATTATGAATCTTATCCTTATGTTTCCTCACGATCTCATTACCTTAGTAACAAAGGCCAAAACAAATAGAAGCCTTAAAACTTACACTGCCATGCATTTTTCTTCTAAGTATTCCTGCCTAGAAAAGTAGCCATGAATTCTAAAGGAGTAACCAAGGCTTGCTATTATCTTGAAAATGGTCACATCCATTCTTCCTATGTCATCATAAAAAAAATCAAAAACATAAGCTATAAAGGAACATAGTTTACCAAAGTTATTTTGAATTTGTATTGTAAAATATTTCAAAAATCACTGAAAATTATAGAAAATAACAAATACCTGTGTTCTTGCCATTTAGTTCCATCAAATTTTAATATTTTGCTATCTAGGCTTCATTTTTTTAATTAAAAATATTTTATAAGTACCCTCTGAAGCCCTCTGAAACCATTCCCCTGTCCACCTGAGATAACCACAAAATAGAATTTATTACCTATAATTCCCAAACTGTGTTACGATATTTTATGTTTATTTTATATCCATGTATTCATAAACAGTTTACTGTATTATTTCACATGATTTTAATTTTAAATCACAATAACTATAGTTATCCTTCTGTACATTTTTTTGCTCAACTTTTTTCAAGATTTATCCATCTTAATATATGGAAGTGTATATTTATTTTAACTGCTGCTTACTATTTCATTGAAAGAATATATCATAATGTATTTATATATTATCTTATTAACTTGCAATTAGAAACAATGTTACGATGAATGTTCTTGAACACATTCCTTGTGCACAGGTGGGAAAACTGTAAGGTGGAAGAAGACAAAGTAGAATTGTCTAGGTTATTTGGGTCCATAAACTTAAACTTCACCAGTTTCATCTAAAATTCATCTAAAAACTGTGTACAAATTTATACTGTCTACAGTCTATGAGAATTCCTGTTTCTTTAAATCCTCACATATGCATTTCCTCCAAATTTTTTGCAATTTGTCTTGAATGAAAAAATGGTCAAATCCTGCTCTTATTTTTACACAAATGAGTTGGTTAGAAGTGACGAGAGTGATGCTCTATTTCTTAAATTGGATTCAATTCACAATGGCTGACACATAGGGCCTTGGCAAACGTAAGTTCAGTGGTTTCCAATCTGCACCTTAGACTTACCTGGGAGATTTAAAAAAATTCTGATACTCAAGCCTCACCCCAGACCTACTAAATCAGGATCTCCTTGGAGGTGCAGAGCGGAGAAATATGGATGCAGCGCTGGGCCCTACTTGGTAGCCTCAGAACTCAGATTCCTAGGTGATCCCAATATGCAGTCAATTTTGGGAATTAATGCTGTTGCGTGTGGCTGATAAGAAAGAGAATAAAGCTGAAGAGAGAAGACATTCTAAAAGTGAGTGGTGAACTAGAGCTTGATTCTCAGTAACTCTATCTAGAACGGATAGAGTAAATTAGTGCTTGGGAAACAGTAGGAGGCATTCCAGGATGTGGCAGTGCTAGAGACCAGGAACTAGCAAGTGTGTCAGCCCATAGTTAGGAATAGAACAACAAATCAAGGGTCAGGATCCTGTCCCTTTAGAAAAGACAACGTGTAAAATCAGAGCACATGAAAGAACTCCAGATGAGTAGGTTGATTTTCAGGACTCTGCTGCCCACTGGAGCTGAAGTATTATCTAGAGCTCAGCTATAAGGTTAGGCAGAAAATTCGGGAAAAAGGCAGTGAGGATTGGATGAAGGCCTCATCTGTGTGGGTAACATTGGCTAATAGCAAACAACAATAATTCCAACCCCATCAGCCGGTTGATGTAAGTTATAGATGTTCTGTTTGTCTTAATTAGAATAGGTTTGGGATATAAACTTCTAACTGTTGCTCAGAGGGAATGGAAAAGTCAAGGAAAAATTCAAATGCCCCAAGTTATAAGGAATGAGGAACTATTTTGATCTGGTTTATAATGATTTATCTGGGCTATTGACATAAACTAAGAATTTATATTTAATTGCTTTATAACTAATATCCTACTTTACTAAGAGTGTCAAAATATACTTTAAATACAAGGTAACAAAAGTTCATGGAATTTCAGCTATAGCAACAAACATTTCTCATCCTTTCCTCAGTCAAAACAATTATTATAATTTTAAATAGGAAAAAAAAAAGAAAGACCATTTGGCTTTGTGGACATGATTAGAAGTAAAACTATTGGAAAGTGAAATACCAAATTATTATTTAAGGGAAATACTTAAATTATTATTGATGTTACCATATAGTTCATGCAGTTGTCTCCTGCATTCAGGAAAGAGAAAGGTTCTAAAATTATGGTATAGTTAGAACACCTAAAAGCTTTTCTTTAAAAACTGCTTTAGAGCAAATAAAACTAAAGGCATCCAACGTATTTTTAAATTGTCATTTTGTATTCAACTTAAAGTAAGGTTTTAGACAGGAAGGTGATGGGATGATTGCATAATGATTTAAAACAAAATATCATCTTAAAATGTCTGCATGCCCTCCCAGCTGACTATGAAGTCATCAGTTAAGGTGAATAATCAAGATAACTCTTTTTTTTTCTTCTAATTCAGTGCTGAGTACAAGAGGAGGACTAAATATGTTCAAAAAAGTCTTAATCCTGAGTGGAATCAAACAGTAATTTATAAAAGTATCTCCATGGAACAGGTATGCAATGATTAATTTTCTATGTGAGAGTTTTCGGCTAATATTAGAAATCTGATGACAAAATTATTGCAAGACTGTGGTCTATCAATTTTGCCACACAAACAAAAAGAAATGAGTAAAATAATAAATGTAGCCAGTGAAAGGAAATGGATACAGTGCAAAGTTACCATGAGTGTAAATGTGTGCATTTTGACAAAGCAGCCAAAAAATAAATAAGACCAATGGAACATTTGCCATCAATTATTGCAAAATCTTAATATTTCAACAGCCTGGGCCACATTTATCATATTTTAAGGGAAAATATTTTCCAACTGGCCATATACTTTTTATAAATTTTGGTCAATCACTTTCATTTTTTTCCAGTTTTACTGAGAAAATTGACATAATACATTGTATAAGTTTATGGTATACACCATAATGATTTGATATGTATATATTGCAAAAATAATAGGTGGCTGTATTTTGACTTTCACAAATAATACAAAGAAAATATTCAGTGTATATGAATGTGTTATTGCTCCAGGCAACATTTTAGGAATTCATCTCTTCTCTAAATCAAGGCCTCTTAAGAACCTGGCGTTGTGGGGCTAAATTGTACAGACCAAGACATACAGATGACTAGCCTAAAGGATTTTAAAGGAGATTTATGATTTGTCCTCTGGAAGATTTCTAATTTGATTATGAAGTTGAAGCTGGGTACAAATTGTAATCTGGGTTCTTGAATTTAAAATAAGTTAAATTTACCTGCAGAAATTAGAGAATGCTACTATATTTTTTGGTGATTTACTAAAACCAAAAAACTCCAATCTAAATATTTTATCCAAATAACCTAGACAGTTTTTCATCCTTTAAATTCCATGTATTTAAAGAGCATTTGTAGATTCTACTTTTTTTTTTTATAAAAATCGAGAGTGGGGGCTTAGAATAACAGGGAATTAGTAAAAGTTTGAGGTCTCATGAACAAACAGTAGGTTGGACTATAAAATCATTGATATTTTATATAATATTTGATATAAACCTACATTTTAGATAAAATCTGAAGACTTTTTACACAAATGGAAAGAGTTCAAGGAAGTGAAAATAAATGAATCTATAATAGAGTGTGATGAAAACTTCTGGGGTTAATAACATTTTGATTTAAACTGTAGCTCAAGAAGAAAACACTGGAGGTGACAGTCTGGGATTATGATAGATTTTCTTCCAATGACTTTCTTGGTGAGGTGAGCATCTGATTTCCTTTTCTTCATTTGCTTTCATTATAAACCACCAATTAAAATTTATTGATACAAGCATATTTCTTAAGTTTATTAGATAATCATTTTAGTTAAAGCCCTTTGGTGGATAGGATATATTTCCTGATTTATTCTTTGACTGGATGAATAGTAATTTGAGAAATGGTTTTCACTCTATCATTTGATGTACTTTAATTTGTAGATGAATTATTGTTTTGCTGGTAGATATATAATCATGCTGTGAATCCAAATTTGAGATAAATTATTATAAAATGAGCTAGATTTTTAAAATGCATTTTCAGGTATTTAATTGCTCTTCTTCACTGCATCTATCAATGACTTGATATGGCATTCTGCATTGTTTATTTCTTTTAAGTATCCCATGAAAAATCTCTCAAAATATTTTACGAGGCAAAATAGAAGTAGGAGAAAACAATAAAAATCAGTTTTATATAAGTTCACATGGAATCTACCCTAATCATGAAATCTGGCAGAGTCAGATCCTATGTTTTTTTTTTTTAATCTATAGTATTTCAAAAAATATATTTAGTAATCTTTACTTAAAGCAGAAGTTATGAATTAATGTTAAAAAATAAATCCTCTCCAAAAATAAAATAACACCTAGACAATATGATGTCCCTTCCCAGAAACAATAGAAAACAGTTGTTTAGTCTAGGTGACACGAGACCTTGTTTGGTTCCAAGACTCCACACTTTTCTTTACTATCAAAATTAGGCCATTTGACCTTTACTTGCAGGCTCCATGCTGGTACAGTCCCTGGTACTAATCTTGATCTTTGGACAGTTCTAGAATGCAGTATTCTATCAGACTTAATGTCTCGTTTCAGAAAACTGATTTATTATAGTCCTTGTAATTTATTGTTGACATGAACCTAGAGCATATATCCATTGTGTTGGTTCTCGTTTTTTTTATATCTCATCAAATTTAAAAATGCCAGCAATTGTAAAATGGGATATTACTCATGAACCACTAAGAAAGAAAAAAATGCTGCCAGTCAAACCATGATACAGTGCTTTCTCATCATAAATTGTTAGTCATATCCCTATTTCAAATATGAGTTAAAGTATGTTTTAAAATACAGGGAATTAGTCAGTAATTGCAAATTACCCATTCTTTTTTAGTTTGTCCCTCTCCTAACTAAAAGCAATCTTTAAAAATGATATCCGCGTTTAAAAAAAAAAGATATCCAAGTTTAGTACTAAAATGTGTTCATTTAGTAAAAGAGAGCTTTCATTCATAAAGAGATTGAGTTGTGACTACCTTTTCACATCATCTCCAAATAATTTATAGTCGAAGATCTTATGCAGTTCAGTTTAATCAAATGTTCATTTTAAAATATATATATATTGGGCGCCTGGGTGGCTCAGTTGGTTAAGCGACTGCCTTCGGCTCAGGTCATGATCCTGGAGTCCCGGGATCGAGTCCCGCATCGGACTCCCTGCTCGGCAGGGAGTCTGCTTCTCCCTCTGACCCTCCCCCCTCTCATGTGCTCTCTCTCATTCTCTCTCTCAAATAAATAAATAAAAACTTTAAAAAAAATAAATAAATAAAATAAAATATATATATATTTATTTGAGAGAGAGAGTACACAGTGGGGAGGGGCAATGGGAGAGCAGAGCAGAGCCCAATGTGGGGCTCGGTCTCACAACCCTGAGATCATGACCTGAGCCAAAACCAAGAGTCTGATGCCCAACCAACTGCACCACCCAGGTGTCCCTAATCAAATGTTTATTAAGCATCTAATATGCACAAGATGTTGTTCCCAATGTCATGGGTAAAGAAAAATGAGGAGGACAGCCTTGTCATCCTCAAAGTCATACTATGTCTTTTGGCTTATATCCTTGAGTAAATTTCAGATCACAGATAAAAGTAATCGATGAATTATATCAATTTCATTGACTTACTGCATTTTTTCAGGTATTGATTGATTTATCTAGCACATCTCATCTCGATAACACTCCAAGATGGTATTCTCTCAAAGAACAGACTGAAAGTATTGATCATGGCAAGGCTCATTCCAGCCAGGGCAGCCAACAGTCTCCAAAACCATCTGTCATCAAAAGCAGAAGCCATGGTATCTTCCCTGACCCATCCAAGGGTAGGAGATATTTCAAGTAGAAAAAGCTTTTTTCTATTTGTTCACTCAGTAACTTCTTGAATATGAGTGCCTGTGTATTTAATATATTTTACAATGTTGGATTCTATTGGAAAGTATGTAATATAATATCCTGCAAACAGTAATGGATATGGAATCAGGAAAAATGGGCTTCAATTTCAGATCAGCGCATTATCAGGCTTATGACTTCGTGATCTTCACCTCTTCGACTCTGGTTTTCAACCAATACAACGGAGGGAGTTGGGCTGTATGAGCTGTTGGATTATTTCCAGCTCTCAAAATCCATGATAATACGATTTTATCAAATATGTTGGGGTATTTCATAAAGAAAAATAAGAATCCTCAACAGTCCATTGACTAGACATACTCATTACCATTTATGCATATTTCTTCTCATTGTTTAAACCCCTATTTTTCATAGGTATATTCTTACTCATATATTATATATGTAATATATGAGCATATATAATTTTGCATCCTGCTTTTTACTTACCATACCAAGAACATTTTCCCTATGTCACCAAAACAACTGGTATGTTGAAATTTACCTAAACCTTTCCTAAATGTTGGCCTCGAGCTAATGCTATGATTTTTTTAAACCACTATCATTATTTTTGAAATGGTAATGTTATACATTGGGTTTGGCAATATACACAGCATTCCCATTTGAATGGGCTTTTCCTTTGAGAGGTTCATTGCCGATTATCCTACCACACAACATCAATCTTCATCATAAACCGAGTTACTGCCTAGATGAGATAACCATGTAGTATTTTACCTAGGCACCCTGAACTATTTTTAAGTGTCAACTCTAAATGTTTATACTGGACCTGAGTATTGCTCCCTTCTCTCCTCAGAAAGTACATCAAATTGAAAAGTGCTTCTTTGCACATTAGAAAGGAATGGGTCACAGGTGCAAGTGTTCTCGGAGATGGAAAACCACGAGGCCGAGTCCAGTAGGCCACTGAGTTGATATGACAAACCACGGGCTACCATGAGGGCTACAGATGACTTGTGAATGAGCTTTATAGATCATTTATGGATCCCACTTGGCCAGATCAACTCTACCCTGATTAACTTCCTGGAAGATCATTAGCATAAAGACCTCTCTCTCTGTCTCTCTCTCTCTGATGGCCATAGTAAATGTGGGATCTCTATATACATTCTCTGAAATCCCCTGAGACGCGATTCTCCAGTCTCCACTGTTAATGTGTCCCGGTGACGCACACCCCTCCATCCGAGCATTCCCTGCATTTTCACTGGAAACTCCTCTGTGGCCGTGGGAGCCTCTTGTCTCTTGCCTGGTCCCTCCTAGAATTAGCAGTTGCTTGGCGATACGGAAAGTTAACATACGCATTTCCATGAGGCTGGTTAGATGTATGTCCTCTTCTCAGACTTCTGTCTTCTCGACATGACTATCCTTTTGACGTTCCTCCCCACAACTGTCCCCCCAATGTTTCATCACATCGCCCAGTGACAAGCAGTTGCATAAATGAGCCCGAAAGGAAACAGAATTAACATAAATCTTAGTCTCAAATTATGTGAGACCAAGCTTGCCAGGGGGAACGCCGGAGCGCTGTTAACTCACGTCTCACCCTCTTGTAACCAGACATGCAGGTTCCCACCATTGAGAAATCCCACAGTAGTCCCGGTAGCTCGAAATCCTCCTCCGAAGGCCACCTGCGCTCTCACGGACCGTCGCGCAGTCAGAGCAAAACCAGCGTCACCCAGAGCCACCTGGAAGATGCAGGGGCTGCCATAGCTGCTGCCGAAGCCGCAGTGCAGCAGCTCCGCCTGCAACCAAGTAAAAGACGCAAATAAATTCCTCAGCATGGCAGCTTAGTGTTCATCTGTCGCCTCTCTCTCCTGCTGTCCTTCCCCGTTCGCTTTCCGTGTTCTGGCAGACCCTGCTCCCCCCATCCTCTGTCCCTCTGTCCGTGTCACAACAGTACCAAGACCTAAATCTGCTCTTTCTTACTTCGATTTTTCGTTGCGTTTATTTATTTACGTGGACGGCAATAAAACTGGCTGTTTCTTTCCCCTCCGTCTCCGCCATCCCTCCAACCTGGCTCATAGTATTTGGTGGCTGTGTCTGTGACATTTGCAGGCAAAGCAGTGTCGTGTGTCCTTTTCGTGTGCGCTTAAATATCCTTGAGAATCTGGGAATTATGAGCACAAGTGGCTGCCAGTTTTCCAGGCGTTACACCAAAAAAAAAAAAAAAAAAAGCACACACACAAGCATTTAGAGCAGATTAGAGATGAGATGCTTGCATCTGAAAACACTCAAAAATTGTGGGGCAGAAGAGTAATGCGACCAACAGTCGAATTCTCCAACCGAGTGGGGGGGAGGGGGGAGAAGGCCACTTCAAGCTTAGAAACCTTAATGAATTATGCATGTGAAATGTTGTAGCTTTCCATGTGGGAAACTTTCTAGTCTTTTAGTGGAAAAAAAATCTGTGAAGAAAATCATGTCTTATATTTTCCAAAAAGTACATAATATTAATTATATGTGTAGACATATGTGATGAGGCCATGTCCCCTCATTAAGGAGCACAGTCGGGTCCATTCTGTTGGATCACACTTTGTATATGATATCAGAGAATTTATAGGCTATTTTCTTTTCTAACCACTGGAAGTCCTTATACAGGCAAGAGGCCGATTAAAGAATCACAACTCACCCATCTTAATTGCTGTATTTTCATTTAATTTGCGAAAATGTAGTCAGTCGATATGGAAAAACTGAACGAGTACAGAGATCATACAAACGGAGCTGCCCTTTTGCTTTCAAGCAGCCTTAGCCAGATCATGGAGAGAGATCGATGTTATCCCCATCTCCCCAAGTCTTCATTTCCCGAGAAACAGCCAGTTTTAACCCCTCTAGTGCTGTGCATGTGGTGTCGTTTTGGCATTTGAAAACACAGCCTCTTGAGATGGAGCAAAAGATCACTTCTGTTTGCATGAGTGACATTGAAGCTGGTTCCATCCGAGGATATGTACTCTGGGTTTCCATTCCACCCACACTGCCTCAGCAGCACATAAGAGCGGTCAGTCTAATCATGCCAGGAAGCAGCACAGACACAGCATAGCGGGCGTCCTCCCCATTCAGAGAACTCAGTCTGATAATCTGCCTCCACCAGCCAATGGCAACCAAGACCAAAGCCAGCTAGCCCTCAGGAAGGTGGTGTCTGATGGACCAGTCAAGCCAGAAGGAGGTGAGCAGAAAGGCGCTATGCAAAGCACACAGCAAGAACATCCCCCACATTTAAAGCCCTCATCTTTTAATTTTTTAGAGATTGTCTGATCAAATCTGTTTATCCACTTTTTGATGTGCTTTTGTGGGCATGGCATTTCAGGACTTCATCATCACTGTGTAAGTCCCCAAATCAGTCCCATAATATATGACTACAGTGATTTGTATTTTTCTATGCACTGGGCATCTTTTGACTTCTGTTGGGAACTAGATTAACAATATTCATATTGCAGAATGGAATGCATGCTACTAACCTAATCTGTTCAAGCATGACTATAAATATGTTGCATTGTGATAAAAGTTTAAACTGCTCAAAATTCAAATTAGCATACCAGTTGGAATGTAGATCAGTTTTTGTTGCATATTATTTCAAGTGTAACTTTTTAAAACTTCAGTGGATTCTGGAAATCCTTAGAGGAAAGTAAGGGGAAAATTGTTAATGCACTAATTCACCTTTACATGGTGAAAGTTCTCTCTTGATCCTACAAACAGACATTTTCCACTCATGTTTCCATAGCTGTTAAGTGTATCAGATGTGTTGGGCATGTGAATATCCAAGTGCCTGTGTAATAAATAAAGTATCTTTATTTCATTCATAAACTACTGGGTTCTGAGCCATTGTTATATGATGCAGCTTAAAATGAGTGTGTCAGTTTTTGCTTTCTCATTTGATTCCTTGCAATAGAGTATGGCTAGTTACTGTTCCATTGCTAGTGAGACCTCTATGATAGAACATTTTGGGAGTGGAACCAAGTTTGATGTTGAAACATCATTAGCTAGATGGAAAATTATGACCAAATGAAAGCACCAAGCGTACATAAACATGTGAGGGTGAATTGGGGTTGGGCTCTTCTAGGCAATACGTCCACAGTTTCTGGCTCCCACATCTGATCTACTCCACAGTCGTCTTGGGTTCCTGGATAGAGGAGGACAAATCCCCTGAGCCCTGGCTTTGGAGGTGCATCTAAACTTGATTCCGTAGCCGTGTTCAGAAAGGAAAACAAGTTTGTATCCATCCCTAGCCAGACCCCAACACTCCCGGAGTTTTCCCCAAAGAAAAGAGTATCACCACCAGTGATAGGAATCAAACGAGGGTGATTATAAAATTATCTTCAGATTTAATTCAAAAACACTTATAAAATAAAGGGTTTTAAAAAATAGGTTAGGGGCGCCTGGGTGGCTCACTTGGTTAAGCGACTGCCTTCGGCTCAGGTCATGATCCTGGAGTCCCGGGATCGATTCCCGCATCGGGCTCCCTGCTCGGCAGGGAGTCTGCTTCTCCCTCTGACCCTCCCCCCTCTCATGTGCTCTCTCTCATTCTCTCTCTCAAATAAATAAATAAAATCTTTAAAAAAAAATAAAAATAAAAATAAATAAATAAATAAATAAATAAATAAATAAATAAATAAATAAATAAATAATAGGTTAAAAAAATTGGATAGTGGTACCCCCTTAAGTCCCTTCCAACCCGAAAATACTTGATTTTACGATTTTCTACTTGTCCCCAAATTAAAATCAAGCTTTATACTTTCCTGTTGTATTTCTCTTAATTCTCCAAAATCTACCATTTTTAATACGTTCTTGTCCCAACAAATCAGATATTTAGGGGCAGTGGAAAATGTATGTGGCATAAAGCACAGTGATGTTTTCTGAATTAGCCAGGTAGTTATCCCCTGTGCATGGATTCCATTTTCTAATTAGCTTACTGTTACTTCCCAAAAGTACTTAAAATCCCTCCTCTTACCTTTTTCTCTATCAAATGAGCAGTTGGTTTCTTACAGTTACTCATTTTCGTACTTCAAGTATTCCATAATGATGTCACAGTAATGAAATGCTTCCCTATCTCACTCTATTTTAAATTATCATGATTTCAGTATTACTATGTAATATTTTGACTGATTTTTTTGACGTGGTTCTTAAAATTCATAGCAAAATATGTTTAATTCCCTTTCTTTGCGTAATGCTGTAATGGATATTCTCATCCACATAAGGTGCTGTGACTGAATCCTGGAGCCATTCTCTATTGAAATCAAGATAACATAACCTGCTTTCTTGTTTAATTTGGTACTGAAGATAAAATGTCGTTTTCTAAAACATAGTTATTTCCCTGCTACTGTAACTGTACCAAGAATATAATTCATCCATGCATTTTGCCAATTAAGAGTAAACATGCTATACGATTAAATTTATATAAAATGCTGTAGAATTAGTTTAAAGCGTAGAAAAATTGGTATGAGATGGAAACATACAAAGAGCCAACAAGTTCTCATTCACTAACTGCATAAATAAGTATTATTATTAACTTTAAGTGTTTAGATAAAAGCCTTCCATTTCAAACCTCACAGTGGAGTTCACACAGTCCCATCTGCATTCTGATGATAATGCCCTTCATTTGAACAGTTCTTCACATTGTATCGAGTGTTCTGTCACTCATCTTCTCATTTATCACACCTGGTAAAGGAGGTCTTCATGGCAGATATTCTTATCCCTGTTTTCTGAGTGAGCAATCAGAGAGAGGGCTGGGATGATGGATAGAATACACAGAAATTTCTAGAATTGGCAACCGGACCCTTGTTCTAGGCCTAAACCTTTGCTTCCTAAATACGTTGGCTCCTCTGAAATCAAACTCTTCTGAATTCAGTAAAAACAATTGTAATTTACATACTTGTTATTTGTCACTTAAGTTCTTACAAATGATGAGAGGTTGCTAGAAATGATGGCAGAATACAATTTAGACTTGCTCTCCCTACATGATCCTTTCTTCTGAAGGCTGAAAATTAAGCTGCCACAAACCCAAGGAAATGAATCCCTCTCATGCATGAACCCAGTGTGGCAGTAAGCAGAGTCTGTAGAGACTGTGGGTACATCTGTAGTCATTTCTATCAAGGGTGACAAAATTGTCCCTAAAGAGCCCTTCGAATGTTTCTTTGTGAACTTCTCAGCAGATTTCTGCCCGAAGTAGCATAAAATATGGGTCAAGCAAGAATTATGGAGTGAGCCAGAAAGAACTTTCTCTCTCCCCCCCGGGGTTTAGTTGCACACTAGGAACCGTGAAAAGAAAGATTAGACAGATTGTGCCAGATAATCCTGATGCCTAAACAACTCTTTTGTATTTAGAAATCCCTGGAAATGATTTTGTTCCAAGCCAGTTGGTTTGACTGAACACAGGCTCCACCATTTTAGAAGGTGACAGCAACCAGAGAGGAGAGTTTAAAAAATAGTTATTTTTTTTAAACCATACTCAAACTGAATCAGATTGAAGCGTTCTTTAAACCTTAGTTGACATCCACTATTTTATATTGTAAGTGCATTTTGAAATTCCTGAGTTATTCTTGTTTGATACTAAGATTTTATGTGAATTTTAAAATTAGGAACAGTAATAGAGGCTGAGGAGAAATGTCCCTCCACCCTGGGAAATGAGATAAGAGCCAATGGAACGGGTTGGAGAGGATAGAGCAGATGAACCATTGAATAAGTTGTGTGTGGGAATTATGATTAAGCATTCCTTGGAGTGGCCAAGTTGTAGGAGAAAAGCCTGAAGCTACTTCCACAGACCACTGCTGGAAACTCCACTTTCAATAAGGCTCATTTTCAGCACCTGTCACAGAAGAGTTTCATATCTGCAGGTTGTCGTGGTGAACTCTTACTAAGCCATCACTCTGTGGGAGCTGCTGTCTTGGGCAAGTGGTAGGGGGTGGCCGGGCTGGGAAGCGGGATGGGCACCGGGAGTAGAGGGTACTGTTGGTGACAAAGGGCGATAGGTAATCTGTGTCCCATTCTCTTCTGACTGGAAGTAGATGGTCACTTCTGGTCAGAAAGAATTTAGCGTTCTCTGTTTCTGGGAAGGAGAGGGTTCAAAAGGAAGTAAAGGAGAAATCAGAAGAGAAATCAAAGTGAGTTCATTTGGAGGTGAAGTCTTCCTGTCACGTATGTAAGAGGTTAATAAAAACAGATTTGCATTCTTCATTTCAATGTGTTCATGTAAAAATACAAACTTAAATAAAACTTTGGGTAGTTGAAAATGAAAAGAAAATTGAAACTGTAATGATCTGAACACAGTAAACATCCAACAAAGTCTGAGGGACTCAAATTGGATAATATCAGCTTTCAAAGTTATGTGCCTGTTTTTCTGGGGACGAGGGTTTTCTTTGTTGTCTGTGAAGATCAAAATGCTCTTCTAAATTTTTTTTAAGAGTTTCCATATTTTCTTAAGAATGATTACGCATTTTAAAATATTTCTTTAGTCATTTAACATTTTTTGCCAGGAATATCTCTGCTATACATGCAAAGTCACAGAGAGTAAATGTATATAGCTCTGACCATGTGACACTGTCTCTTGTTTATGGACGTTTATTCACAAAGGTGAATCCACCGATCTACTATCATGGGTACTTTTGTTCTTTTCCAGTAATAGCTGTGGGTCTGCACCACGCCATCCACATGTCTGGTTCACACTGGGGATTTATATGTTCATTTCATCTGACATGAATAACAAGACCAACTGGTCTACCCAAGTATCTGAGCTTGGCTTCAATATGGCTGCACCTTAGTCAAACGATCTAGCTATGGGCCTGTATAATTGGATGTGACCATGAAGACATGATCTAATTTTAACATGGCAAAGTCCCTTCAAATGCTGCTTATGATATAGTTTTAACAAAGTTCAACTTAATTTTTAAAATGCAAATTATTTGGGCTTGAAGAAATTATTTTTTAAAAAGTTACTTTATCAAATTACCACCAGGGAGCAGGACCCTGAGGAAATGAGACAGGCAAGTAAATGCTGATGGAGGAAAGAAATGAGAAGCATGGAGCATGAGAAGGCTGATGGGGACACAGTGCGGGACCCTGGACAAAAGGCACAATATGAGCATGGGGCTGGGAATGTGATCGCTTGGGTAGGCGGGATCATGGACCTGGGGGAAACACTACCTAAGGAGAGGCAGACGAATGTCAAAGGCA